TAAATCTTGCATCGTTTGAAACAGTATTTTAAAATGTTGTTTTTTTTTCTTCACTTTTAGAAACATGTTAAAAAACAACATGCACATGATACAGCAAAAATTGTTGAATTACCTGATAAATATTTATTTCAAACAACTCTTAAAGCAAAATATGAAGGTACTGATGATCGAGCATTAGCACCAGCACCGTTAACTGATGAAGATTATAGTTTTTTTGGTAATGATGTTCAACAAAAATTATCTTCAATGAAATATACACGTGATCGAACATTAGCTTGTCAACAATGTCCATTTGCTGCTAATTCAATGGCTGAATTACGACGACATTTAATTGTTCATTCAGCTGAAAGTCCTTATCATTGTTTTAATTGTGATTATAAATCGAAATGGAAATGTGATGTTAAAAAACATATGCGTTTATGTAATCATCATGGACCAGTTCTAGTTGGACGTAAAGCGATGGCTAAAGTTATGGAGGTAAATAAATCTTAATAAAAAAAAATTTTCATATATGTAAATGATTTTTTTTCTAGAGTCTTGGTTTAGTTATTGGAAATAATGATGTGAATAAGACAGTATCAGCGGATAAACAAAATGCAGCTGCATTTGCTGCTGCAGCTATGCAAATGTCAACATTTTTTGCTCAACAACAACAACAACAACAGCAGCAACAACAACAAAAATCTAATGAAATGGAAGAAGATGAAGAAGAAATCGTTGAAGATGATGATGATGATGATGAAAATCATAGTTTAATTATTGTTGATGAAAATCAACAACAAGATGAAACTAATGATAAACAAAAACGTATATCAACAAATTCTCGTACACAAAATAATCATTTACGTTGTCGTCAATGTGATTATGAAGCTGAAGATTTATCCGATTTACTTGTTCATCGTAAAGCACATGCAGCATCTATGAAATATAATACAAATTTTGATCAAGAATTTCAACAACAACCAACTGTATCAAATAATAGTGATATTGAAAATGATGATGACGAACAAGAAGTAAGTCTATATACATTCGGGATCTATTGAATGGGTGCGATCGCACTATCTCTCTCAATTTTTACCTAGCAAAAATAGTCCGGACATTTTTTTAACTCTAATAGAACAGTATTTCTCATTATATTTTTTTTCAGGAAGAAAAAACACGAGATATTCAATTCGATGAACAAATGTTTGACTATGGTATGTTAAATAAAAAAAATATTTTTTGTCTAAAATAAATATTTCTTTTTGTTTTTTATAGAATTACATTGGTTAGAAAATAATCCATTACTTAAACAATTAACAACAAGTATTATCATTTTGTTTTTTTCTTCATAATATATTTTTATATTAATTTTATTTAGTTCAACAAAAAAATCGAGCAATTATTTATAAATGTTCAAAATGTAATTATACAATAAATAATGATCGTCAATATTTTCTTAATCATCTCGATCGTCACCATCCTGAAATGTTACAAGTAAAATAATCGATTAATTTAAACAAAAAAATATATATTTTTTCTTTTAGAATCACACATGGTCATCATAAAAAAAAACAAAATTGTGTAATTCAGTAGTCAGATATATATTCATATTCACGGTCTTTCTCTTCTCTTTCCAACGAACTGCATTCCATGTATGTGTGACATCAGATAATGGTTTTGCTTTTGTATCTTGTATATAATTTGCACTATTTATTTCCTATTTCTTCTTCTTTTTCTTTTTCTTGTGTGTCTAGCCATCGCATTTTGTTTATTTGTTTCATTGCTTTATTCTATTCCATTAATCTATTTGTATCATCATTGTTCACTTTAAATATTCGATTTTTTTTGTGTATCATCTTCTGTTTCCTTTTTTTTTCTAATCAAGACTAAACAGAAAAAGATCAAAAAAAAATAACAATAACAATACTATTTTTTATTATGTTGGTGTGTCAGTGGGATACTGTAAATAGTTTATACATTGATGAATGCATATCATCACGAAACATTCAAATACGTCAGTATATTCTAAATTTTGTGGGTGTGGATATGGATCTATTTTTAAAAATTAAATATGATCGGCTTTTGTATAGATTTCATTAGATAGTTGATTTATATAAAAACAAAAAATCTTTCGTATTAATTTATGATTATTATTGGATAGAAAAAATAATAAATGAATATAGAATAGGTACACATAGTTTTAAAATGCCTGATATTATAGACAATATCGTAGATGGTTTAACCTATAACCTCCGCTTGAATACTATTCACGTTTTTACTTTTAATTTTATGCATACTTTCACGTGCTTAATCTTCTAAAATATCGACGAAAATATGTTTCTTTTTCGTCTTCAACATACTTTTGTTGCTATTTAAAGAGTCAGAAGGCCAGCATACGTCAGTAGGTTTTCATACTGATCCGATTATATTCCATATAGGACGTAACTGTCAATGTTAATCCTCTGACAGACAATAATAACAACAATGGTTTCTGGAAAAATTATTCTCTACGTCCTATTTACTATCTTTATAATACAAGCTGAAATATCCCTTGGTAAGATTTAATTATTCTAGGATTTCTATTGATATTTTTATTTATTAAAGGATCTCCTATTCGTCATGATAATTTACAAGTATTATTTACACAGGCATTAAAAGTTGCTGATTGTTCACGTGTTGTACCAGTTTCGGAATTCATACCATTACGTCATCGTCGTAGTACAACGAAAAAAGTATTCCAATGTTTTATCACTCTCGATTAATTATCCTTATGTCTTCATTATTTAAGCAGTTTTAACAGAAATTCTCTATTTCTAGATCAGTTTTTTAAACTTATGTACTAGTATAAAATCCAAATAAAACATCCATTGTATTTTTATCTTCTTGATTTAATTAATACGTAAAATATCTTAAAGCAAAAAATATTTAATTCATTTTCTTATCTAACTATCAACACGACATTTTTATTAAAAATTTGAAACATATTTCTGCTATTTAGCTTCTTTTTATTATTTCAACATGCTACATACAATAATCAGAATGTTCTATTATATCATAATATGCAGCGTATATTTTTGTTCGTTATTTAACATATAAATAATAAAAAATATTCTTAAACGAGAATAAAAAATACTTGAATCTGTCACAAATGCAACTCCGACCCTGTAATTCACTATACCTAAAACAC